TTCTGCTTCTGCTTCTGCTGCATTGAGATACTCGCATTTTTATGGCCAATGTCGTTGAACTAAGTAATTAAGGCGCACAGCAGAGGTAAGCGCTGAATAAAGCCTGGAAGTGGCCGAGATTGCGCTCAGCTCATCATCGGGCAGCATAAGCAACGCCATTATCGGGCGTATTAAGCGGCGATCGGGATCGACTCAGTGCCGGTAGTGCGGATCAGAGCCGTAAACGTTGCGGTAGTCAACATCGGCGATCATCGTTATGCGTGGCGCAAGACCATCCGTAAAATCGTAAATAGATCATAAAACGCTCGTAAAATCAATTTAACGACAACAACAGCAACAATATTCGCGACAACAACAACAACAACAATCGCCGTAACAGAGAACGCAACACGATCCACGTCGACAATTAAATTGATCAATCGCTATAAACTGTGTTCGCTCGAGCTCGAGCTCGATTCGACTCGACTTGGATCGACTCGGCCCGGCTTGAGTTACACGCTGCACAGTCTGGCTTTGTGAATTTGGTTACGTGCCCAATTCAGAGGCGTCCATTATTATGGGCATCACACACGGACTGGACTGGGGGGCCTGGGTGGCACCATTTTAATAAGCGGAGAGCGCCGAGCAGTCTATCAAAGTGATTAACGATCTTGCCCGACACTTGACTCGCATGCCATATTGGCACTCGAATTTCTGTATCTGTATCTGTATCTGTTTCTGTTTCTGTTTCTGCTGCTGTTTCTGTTTCGATGCCAGCAACTTTCACAGCGTCGAAATGGAATGCATTGGCAGTTGCCAAACGCTGGTTGCCGGATGTTTCCATTGTCCGTGGGAGGGAGGGAGGCAGAGAAGGATGCTAGCCGGAAAATGACTTCAATAAACAAACGATCGCCGCATTCAATGGGAGTGAAAAGATTGAGCCCGAGGATTTATGACAGGTCGCTGCAAGAGCTGGCCAGCGGCCAGCAGGAGGCGAGAAGGGTTCAGCTGGCCGCTGGACACGCAGCAGGTAAGTATATGGACTTCAAGGACGTTTCAGCGTAAAAAAGAAGGACATTATGAAATTATGAAAGGCAATATTCCATACTTTGAAATTACAGAGTATTTAAGCGCCTAACCCATTGCGAATATCAATGCCATTTGCTCAAGGGTTTCGCTCGCATAGGGGTTTATTAGCGGTACTTACCATTAAAATCGCCGCAAACGACACGCTCAAAGGGACTTCCCATCCAATCTGCAAAATAGAAAGGAAAAACAATAAATGAATGTTTTTTTTTTTTTCTTTTCTTTAGTATTTTCAAGAGGTTTGCAATTGTGGGCTGCATATGTCGAATTGCGCGTTCAGCCTTGAGCTTAATATATGACATTTAGCTACACATGGTTAGTGCAGAGAGAGAGAGAGAGAGAGAGACAGAGAGAAGATCGAGAGTGAGGGAGAGAGATGGACAGACGTACATTACTGTCTCCTTTCCCTTTTTACATTCCGATGACCTCGCTAATTATGTGCCACTCTTTTTCCAAGCCTCTTCTTGCATAACTCGCGCTTGTGCTCTCTTCCATTAGCTGCTGTGGCTTTTTACTCTGCCCAAGCCACTCAATCAAGCCACTTTAAGCCAAGTTGTCAGCTTCGTTTGCAGAGGGCTGGCTGCAGCGCCTTTTCCTGCTCCCAGGCCCAGACCACCAACAAAGTGGCCAATGACCACTGAGCAGTTGAACCGACTCCATCCAAAGTGGACCACAACGACAACGACGACGACAACGACGACGACGACGACGACGTGACGCCTAATTAATAAGCAGATGAAGCTGCTCGGCGTCTAGCCTGGCGCGTTTTTAATTAAAATACACAAATTTCAGTGCAGTTGCCCTGTCGCTGTTGGCATTTTATGATGCGAGCAGACAATCTCATGCTCACACACACACACACACACACACACACACACACACACACACACACATGCATGCATGCATGTATGTATGTATGTACATGTGTATATATGTATGTCTGGTTAGGGTACTCCATGTTCTGTTCTCTTCTATTTTGTTGCTTCGTGATTTCTCAATTCATATGTACGCATATCTTAATTAATTAATTAATTATATAAGTAACCTGTTCTCTCCTTCTCCCTCTCCCTCTCCATCTCTCACTCTCCCTTTCGCTTTCCTTTTTTTTTTTTTAGTGCACTTGCAAATTCCAATATTCCTAAGACGCCCATTTCTATGCTCTTGCCTCGCTTTTCCAGATAATTAAGAAAAGTTAACCTCTTTCTGCTTTCTTATCGACATAATCAGGCACAGCAACAACTTCTCTTACTGCCTGCAATCTGCAACACTGTAGTTGTTGTTGTTGTTGTTATCTGACTGGCTGCTTTCTTGCTTGGTTGGTGCAACGATGTGAAAATGAAAATTCATTCAGACGCCTTGGCGTAAAATATTAAAATTCATTAGTTAAATTGCATTTGGCAAACTATTCTGTAGCTGCGTCCGGGTCTGACTGCTCTATGTATGTGTGTTATTTGCCAGCGAGAGAGAGAGAGAGAGAGAGAGAGAGAGAGAGGGATAGGCAGAGGGAGAGACGGAGAGAGAGAAAGTTAATGTGTACAGGAGTACGGGTTGGTAAAGAGCCAAGAATGGCAGGCAACATTGCCCATCTCTTGACTCCGTTCTCTCTCACTCCCCCTCTCTCTCTCTCTCTCTCTCTCTCTCGGTCCCTCTTTAAAGTGCAACTGAATCGTTGTTTCCATGTTCGCTGTATCTGTGTGTCTGTGTGACTGCGACGATGTGTCGCGCTGTTGGCTGCCATAATGGCGTCATGCTCATATTTACTTTCATCGCAGCCAGTCTATGATCTCGTTGACAATTTTATGCGCTTGTGCTGTGAGCCGAAGATATGCAAAGTATTTCAGTGTGCGAAACAGAGTTTATCTCTAAGTCGCAGTCTTTCCACAGAGTGTTTTCGAATACTCGCTTTCAGGATTTCGCTGCAAGTGGTTTATAAATGGGATATTTTATTCTTCTTAGTTGTTCGACTTTGAAGAGAACTATGCGCCATTATAAATTTTCGGCATTTAATAATATATAATGCATCGAATTTAATCCTAATTTGATTTGCATTGGAATTCTCTTTTATTCATTATACATTTAATTACGAATTATATTCCACATTCATTTTGGCCAAAATGCTTAAAGACATTTTAAATAAGATTTATAGCTCGGGAATATGTCATCCCAGTGCTCGTTGTTCATATTTTCCCATATATAATTAATTTGCCTAGAATTTCAATAGGCTTTGTTTGCTCCCTGGATAAATCAGATTAATTATCAGTTTATTCTTCATGTTGTGCACCCACAAGTCATTCAACCACGTAGTCGTGGAGGGGAAAACTGGCCGGAGGAAATCGCGCTGATACAAATATCAATCAGCCAAGTAACAAATTCGCTGCACAAAGAGGCGCGCGTAAATTAAACTGACCCACATAAATTGCGCGCGAATATTGTACTACGTTTAGCGCATAAAAACATTCTCGACAGCATTGAACGAAAAAGAGAGAAAAACAGCAACAACAATAGATGAAAAGCCAAGCATTGACAGGGCAACAACAAAATGTATCTGTATCTCTTGGCGAGTATCTGACGCTGAGTGATTGCAAGTTTTGTATGCGCGGGGGCACATCTGAGCATATAAATGTGTATGTACATATATATATATATATATGTGTGTGTGTGTGTGTGTCTGGCAACCTTGAAGCTATTTAAATTACAAATCGACGAGTCGCTTCACAAAAAAAGAAACAGCGACAACAACAATAACAAACAGCACACACATTTTTCAACTATTTTCATTTTTATTTACTGCCGCCACTTTTTAGCTCTCTGTTCGCTTGTTGGCCGTCTGTCTGTGTGGCTGTCTGTCCGTTAGCCAGTTTGCAGCGTCATTTCATCTATGCGTCCGACAAGCCATCCGAATTTATTTTGTATATCTTATTTGTTGGACTGAAGACTGATGCGAATCGAACGACTTGCCAATGCTCGCTAAGTGTTTATTATGAATTTTGAATTGGCCCAGAACGAGCGCTTTTATCTATTGTTTATAAGCCCGAATGGCCATAAAGGTGTTCATTAAATGGCCGGATTCGAGAGCCAGCTATTCGGCCCCCTCCCAGCTCGCTCAAGCTGTGCCACCTTGATTTATGCGCACTCTAATAGAGCTTTATATGTACAGTTATGCTAAATAGATTGCTTTCTAGCAGGCCAACACCCACTGCTCGTTCGCAAAGCATTCGCATTCTCATTCTTCGACCTGTCATTCCAGCTCTGTCTGTCTTACTCTCTCTCTCTCTCTCTGTGTCTTCTCCTCGCTGCACAGATCTCATAGTTCTTCTGCTCTTATTTTGTCTATATTTCTCCCTCTGTTTCACTCTGATTTACTTACTTATTGTCTCATCCAAGTTCGTTGCTATCTCTCAAAGCAGTGTCTTTCTCTACCTGTCACGCTCCATGTTCTTTACTCTCTCTCTCTCTTTCTGTGTTGATATTTCTACTTTCCTGTCCCTTTTTAGCGAAAGAGAGCTTTTCGTTCATTCTTTTCTTGGTGCTTTTCTCTATATTTCTATCCTATCCTTTCACTATCTTTCTATCTATTTCTCTTTTTCCCTTTACTGTTCGAGCTCCCCTCTCTCTCTCTCTCTTTCTCTCGCAAGATGTCTTTCTTTCGGGTCCCCTTTTATCTTT